GGAGCCAAGGTCGAGGTGTCAGCTGACTTTGGCTTTCATGAGGGCTGTGGGGAGAGTCTGTCCCATCTCTACCACCTCACTTCCAGGTCATTGCTGGCCATGGTGGGCACGTCTGGGCTTGGAGAGCTCTGCGTTCCTCTTCACCCGGAGTTCTCCTGTGTGCCTGCCTGTCTGTCTGTAAAGGTGTCCTTCATATGGGGCCAGGCATCCTGTAAGAAGAGGGTCCATCTAATGAGCTCAGGTGACCTCCATCAGCTCTGTGAAAACCTTTCCTTTGTCTGTAGTGTCATGCTGAGGTACTTGCAATTGAGATTCCAGCACCTGACTCTGAGGGGCACAATGTGTCTCCTCATACCCTACAAAGGCTCTGAGGGAGGAAGACACTGGAATGTTCCAAGTATGGAAGGATGACCTTCATGGCTACTGGTGGTGAATCCAGAGGTGAGGAGAACAGGCCACCAGGGTAGGAGCCAGATCTCATGGGACCTCAGGGACCTGTGATAACTGTGGCTCTGCTGTGTTCGGTGAAGGAAAGGCCTGGGAGGCCCTGGACTGGGTTCCTCTGGGACCTTGTCCTCATCCTCACAGCCATGTGGAAACAGAGGCTCCCTCGGAGGTGCTGAGACCCTGCTGAGGTTCAGGCTCTGTTTCTCCGACTCCAACCCCCTCTAGTAAACAGGGACCCCTCTCCAGGTAAAAGAAAAGAAATGAGATTGGAGCTGTGGTCAGGCCCCCTGCAGTCATGGGCTATCTTTCTATCTCTCAGCATCTCCCCAGCCATGGAATGAGGTGATAGTAACCTAGCAGATTATTTGAGGTTTGAATTCTGTGACCCCTGTGTGGTGCTGTCCCAGGCCCTGGTGATGACACAGAGTGTGCCCGTCCCAGTAGTCCCTGCTCTCCTTTGTTCTTTCTCAAGGTTCTGGGCGAGGGCTGTGGCATCAGCTGGCAGTGGAAGCCAGGATGTGTGAAGGGCTTGGAGGAAGGTGGTTCCCAAAGGCATGGTGAAGACACCTGGCAGGGCCGTCTGAGGTCCAGGGCGGCCCCAGGGCCAAGGCCAGATTGGTTAGCATGGAACTGCCCTCAGTAGCCCTGGGCTGAGATGGGGCATCTGCAGAGCATGGGCAGGGATGGGGCTGGGAGCCGAGGGGTGGGGTGGCGGCCTGGGTAGGGGAAGCCAAGCCCAGGACAGTGCCTGTCTGTGCTGGGAGAGGACAAGAGCCCAGCCTCTGGGCTGTGAAGCCAGGGGCTTGCCCTCCCTCTTCAATGCTCCCAGTGTTTCTGGGCCCTCTGTGTTGGAACTCACCACGTGCCTCTCTCCCGCTGTCCTGTCCTCCTTCCTGACCTCCCCACAGTCTCCATGTGATGGATGTGTCCTCTGGGTCACCATCCACCTCTCAGCAGACCATGTGGAGACAGATGGAAGGAGTCAGCCCTCTCTGACCACCACCCCCCGTTTTGTGTCAGCAGGCTTGGAGGAAGCTCAGGTACATGGGGCTGAGGTCCTGCCCAGGGCTGAGGTCCAGCCCAGGGCTGTGAGCTTGGAGATTGCTGTATCAAGCTCCAGACCTTTGTGGTTCTGTATATCTGCAGCAAAAATAGTCCCTGGGAGCCCTGGGAGATGAAGTTTAGCTGTTTGTCCTTCTGACAGCCTTTTGCAGGTTTCGTCTTAAAGAGTGTCAAGACCCTGGAGATACAGTAGTGGCCCATGCTATGTAGACCCGGCACTGTACCCTGGCCGTCCAAATGGTGCACCGGGACTGGGAGGGCGTGGCCTGGCGGGAGCTGCTTAAGAAGAGGCTGGGGATGAGCCCCACCCCAATCCAGGCCTTGCTGTGGGATGGGGACAAGTTTGGCTGCACAGTGATTGTGGGCAAGTGATGCCCTGCCCTGCACTGTCTGCATGGCCCCCGGTGCTGCCTTGGATCTTAGCAAGGTTGTGATCATTTGTTTTCTGTTGAACCAGTTGGTGGGGTGTGTGTGGGGGAACTGAGGGTTCTTCAGAGGGACAGAGAGGGTGCCTGGGCTGGGAGACAGTGGCTGGGGTCCCTGACCACCACTCTGGGCCTCAGTCCCCATTTGTGCTCTGAGGCAGGGGCACATCCAGGTCTGCACATAGCACTTGCCTCTGTGTGTGTGTGTGTGTGTGTGTGTGTGTGTGTGTGTGTGTGTCCCCACGTGTGTGTGTGCCCAGCAGAGACCATGAGAGGCAGCACAACACCCAGCCTGGGAACCCAGGCAGTTCCACCCCCACTCCCTGCGGCCAGGTCTGAGCAAGTCCCCTGACTCCCCAGCGGTGAGGCCCCACATCAACACCTGTCCACTGGCAAAACGTTTGGGGACTTGATGTCCACAGGCTCCCCACTGGGGCCCTCCTGCTCTGTCCCTGCAGCCTTCAGTGCGCAGACTGAGAGCTCCCCATGGCCTGGTTTGTTCCTGGAGCACCAGGCCTCTCCGTTTCATTTTGCTCCCTTCCTCGCTTGGCCTTGCCCTGAATTCCCTTTGCCAAGGTGAGCCAGTCTGAATTGCTCAGCCAGAGGACCCAGTTCACCTCGCGTCCCCTCCATGATATGGTCTTCGTCTCTAGGAGGCATGGCTTTGAATGACCTTGTTCTCTTTCTGTCTCCTGCCTTTGCACACAGGTCTTGCGGACACTGGGGACACTTTGCTATGCCCAGAAAACCTAGGTCCCGATGAGGTGGAAGAGCCGGAGATTCAAGCCCTGCTACCCGACCTGCGACAGAAGTACCTGTGCTTCTGTCAGTGCTCTCCAAACCCCGCTGGCTGTTGCAGGCCTTGCCAGGGAGGGGTGGGAGGAACGTCTTCCAGGTGGACATCCCCTAGCACCTGAACCCCTTTGGGCAGGAGTCCTGTCCACACTGGGCTCTCAAAAGCGAGGTGACTGAGATCAGCACGTGGGGACACTCTCAGTTACCACCCCACCCTGGACATGCGCATCTGGTTCTGTTTGAATGAGTCCCGCCCTGTGGTGCCCACTTGGTGTGGGGCCCAGGGCAGGGAATCCCCCTCATGCGGTGCTGCTCTGGACTCAGTGAGAGTTTCTGGGCCTTTGACCTTTATGGAATGCTAGCGTTGCCAATCACTTTGGCTCTGCTGGGTCTGGGTGGTTGAGAGAAATGTGTTGTTAGGAAACCGGTTAGTGTTTTCCCCTCTCTGTTCTGGTCCAAACTCCCTGATGTTGGAACAGTGCCCAGGGAGTAATGGGGGAAGGCTGGGGGCGGGGCTGAGCGTAAGCAGACAGTGAGGCCTTGGGCTGGTAGAGAGGCCCGCAGGCCCAGAAACAGGCTGTGGTGTGTCCTTGCAGGTGACACTTGCCCTGCTGTAAACTGTCTTGTGAGCCAAGACAAGGCCTGCATATTGGACACGCTGCCTGTACACATCACGTCCAAACACTGGCTCGTCAATACAGCTGTGAGGGCAGAGCAAAAAGGGCTGGTGTTCACCTTGTGGGAACCTTGTACTTATCTTTGGGTTTGGGGTCATGTGTTTGCAAGGCTCTTGGTGGGTGGGGTGAGTGACCCTATTTTCTGCTGAGCATCTTGGGAAGGGCCATGGATAGAGAGTTGGAGACGCTCAGCTGCTGATCGGAAACTTGTGGTATCATGGGGGATCCTTGAGGAGCATCTTGCGCTTCAGGGTGCATGACTCATGGAAGGTGACACCCCCACTGTCAGGAACCAAGGTCCAAGAACAAGCCCATCCTGTGCTGGCCTCTGCACTCAACTCGGCAACCACACTCTTGGCCGAGCGTGTGAAATGTTGCTGCTTCAGAAAAAAGGGACCATGGGGACCAGACCAAAGCCTGCCTGAGGCATGGGCTTCCAGCCTCATTGGACTCATTCTGTGAGGTGTGAATCACATGGACAAATATAAAGAACGCAGACTCGCAGTTCTCGTTTGATACTTTACTCCCACAGAGTTTTGCTTTAGTTTATTAGAACATAAATTGATTTTTTTTTTTATTACAGAAGAGTGATTTTGAGTGTCCCTAGGGATCTGGAAGCTCAGGAATTTTGTCTGTGCTTGAGTTGCTCATGGAGGGCACCCTTGTAATCTGAGGACTCTCCCTGCTACTCCTCCGCCTCAGAGGCCTCATCTGGGGCCATGACTGAAAGGGCTGCCATCATGGTGGAGTAAAAGGTCTTGTACACAGCCATCACCAAATTGTAATTGGGGTACTCTGGGGGGCTGTCAGTCAGTTCCCCTGCTCCCTCCCTTCCAGCAGTAGCCAGGGGTACAGACGTGGCATTGCTAGACATGCCTTCACCACTGGGGCCACCCTGCTCACTGGGGAGATGGCTTCCCCCGGCCCACCTGGCTAGATGGCACATAGATCAAAGGCCAGAGAAGAGAAATGAGTGCAGGCTGGGGGTTTCTGGGGTTCCATTCTGGGCGTTCTTGTCCGTCTTTTGGGTGAACTCATGATGGAATTGAGGAGAGCATCTGGTCTCCACCACTCGCTTCTTTCTCTTTGGGGTGGTTGTTGCGCCGGTGGTGGGCTGAGTAGTTGTTCTGGGGTCGCCTTTCCTCCGGATGTTCTGCAGGAGGGGAGGCTTGTCTCTCTGAAAGTTGAAGTTGTGATAGATCTGAAAGGAAATGAATCACTTTAGACAGCAAGGGTGAGAAGAGGCTTCCTCACTGCCCCCCTCCCTACCACCATCCTGGCCATGCCTAAGTATGGAGACAAGGTCTCTTCATTCCTGGCAGGTTATGAGGCCCTAGCATGCTTCTCCCAAGAGCTCCCCTGGGGCCAGCCTCACTTAAGGTGTTACTGGTGGTCCCTGGCATCAAGTGGCCCTGCAGGGTCTGGAGTCACCCCTGTGGTTCCTGTCTAAGGGGGGTGGTGGAACACGACAGACCCTGCTTCCTCCTCTTTCCTTAACTACCCTCTCGTGATAACAGTGTTCTCCTGGGAAATGAAACCTGTCCAGCACTCAGCTCATCTAGTCTAGTCTCCCCAGGAGGGCTTTCTACCTTACCATCAGCTTCTTCTTCCCTGCAGAGCATCTCGAAGGGCAGATTTTACTGAACCCATACAGGTTCATTTCACGAATGAAGCTCTTGATGCTGTCTGTCTTGTAGATCTGGTCTGCGCCCCTGAACTGGAGGACCGCCATCTGGAAGAGATTTGCCTCAGTGACCACAGTGTCTCCCTTGTCGTTCCAGTGCACAAAGGTGAAGGCCACATCCTCCATGATCATCCAGAGCTTCCTGGGGAAGGACAGCCCAAGGACGGTGTTGTTATCTTCCTTGTTGACCATTTCTGGGTTGGGGCCCTGTGGGGTCAGGTATACTTGGGAGCCCGGATTTGGGCTCTCGGGTTGGTCACCCTGCTTCTCCAAAGCCTCCCTTGAATCCATGTTTGGATCCAGGGAGTAATCATGGGGGTCACCTGCTGTGGGCACCCTATCAGTTGATGGGGCCAGCAGGGTTGCCCATGCCTCCTGAGAACTCTGACTAGCCATGGAATCAGTCTAGCTCAGGAGCATTCTCTACCCAAGCATTGAATGCTCAGGGCAGAAGGGCCTCAGACCAGGGTTGGGGTGCCCCAAAAATGCTCTCTGGAGAGTCTGGAATCTGGGTCATGGGACAGGCAGCCAATTAAGTGGTCAGCTTCCTGAATTGTTTCATGATGTCACAGAGGTGATGAGAGGCAGCCTTGGCCCAGTGTAGGGGAGGCAGTCTGGGGACAGATATGGGATCCCCAGCTTGTCTCTTGTCTGAAAGCACAGAAGCATAGGTTTCAGGTTGCCTACAAAGGCTCCCATCTGCTGCCAGTTCCCTTGTTTCAGGGAGCCAGGCCCTGGATGAGTTGTCAAATGTTCCTCTGGCTCCACTCCCCTCACTAGCAAAATGCAGGCTTGTGGCTGGCTTCTGCTGAAGGGCTAGGCCCTGGCAAGTCCTAGGTCTGCTACCACCAAGAGAGATCCCAGGGGTCAGATGGGTCCCTGGTGACTGTCCCTCCCAGAAGATGGGGTCCATAGTGGGCTGACTGGCTTTGCCTGAGTTGGTGCCTCCCTCCCATCCTTTTCCCCTTCTGGCTTTGTTGTCTTCTGGCTGGCGCTGCTGGCTAGTTGGTCCCACTCAGTTGGCCCCAAAGTCAAATTCCTGTTGTCCTGCCCCCACAGCCCCCCAGGTCGAGCTCTCCCCACAGGAGGGCTGTGGTTGAGCACAGTGGAGCGACCTCATATTCCACTTGACTGTTCCCAAGCACCTGAGACATAGATTCCCCAGGATGTCGTGTGGGAGGGCAAAGCCAGGTGCTCTGCTGAGCTTACAGCCTCCCACATTCTGCCCACCCCCAGGTATCATCCCACTGCAGATCACAGGCTGGTGTCTTCAGTTTCCAATTTTTCCATAAACACCACTCTGGTGGCCCTTGAGTGTTCACTTTGGGAACACCTGCGTGTGCTTTTCTCCTCCCCAGAGCCTCGGATTCGGACTCCTTGGAGGCTGCTTTGAAAGCCCTGTTTCCTTTTGTCAGTGGGGTGCTTGGGCTTCTGCTACCTGCAGTCCTGGCTGCCCATGTCCAGCTTGAGTCTATTTGGATAACTAACCTTTGAAGTACTTGATTGGGGGCTCAAGGTACAGCCTGTTCTGTCGAAAACAAGCACTTCACTGGTCCTCTTCGAGGCCAGCTCTGATCTTCCCTGCCCCTGCCCCTGCTCCCACCACCACTGTGGACCTGTTCTCAGTTACCCAGATGGCAGGTCTATCGAATGATTTTGCTGGCTCACGGGTTAGGTGTTTTTCAAGGGCCCTGCTTTACACACACTCACTCCCAGGGACATGTCTGACTTGTTCAGCTATATGTGACCAAAGGAAGCTCCCATCTACCTGTATTTGAAAAAGGATGAGAGGCTGGGTGTGGGCCACTGTTCTTGAAAATCACTGTGTAGGGTACAGACTGGCACCTTGGAAAGGCCCGTATTAGAGGACCCCAGGGCACTGTCTCCCACCTCTGCCAGTAGCAAGGTCATTTGCCTTGTGTGAGGGTCACGGCCTGGTGTCTGAAAGGGGAGATCTAAGAGGGTGTGGAAGAAGCTCTCCCAAGGGCCTTTCTTCCTAAGGACTGGCAGCCTGGATGAGCTCCAGGTTTCCACTTGGGCTTCTCTGTGGCCTTTCTGCTTCTAAGCAGGTTGACAAATCTTTGCATCTGGTCGGTTCATCTTACTGGGACATGACTCTGGAGGCTGTAAACATCGGTAGGGGCCCCTGGTGGCTCCTCGGAAGGGGACGGAAGGTCATGGCATCTGTGGGCAGCCTGGCTAAGTGGTCTTTCTTGCTCCCTTTCATGCTTGGGGCCCCTCCTCATGCCATGGGCCCTGAGGGAGCTGTGTTTTCTGGTCCCCGTCCTTCAGGAAGCACCCGGGCCCTGGCAGTGGGTTTGTGTGTCACCAAGGGGGTCTTTGTCAGCCGTGGCTTGGGACACTTGTGTTGTGCACACACAAGCTCTCATGGCGTCCAAGACCTGCTTTTCTCACCCTCACTCTCCTGCCCCTGTGCTTGGCGTCTGCACGCCGATGTCCCCAGACCAAAGGCCCTCCACCTGCTCCCCTCCCTTGCTGCAGCTGCAGAGACCTGGAGCCCTGGGGGTCCACCTGTGTTCCCTTCCCTTCTGTATCAGAGGAGACTCCTGTAGGGCCTTATCCCAGTGGGCACTGGAACCATACAGTCAGGCTCTCCCTCCCTCCTGCTCGGTGAGAAGCTGGTCAGCCTGGCAGGTTCCATTGGGCAGGAGGCCCCATGGCAGCAGCAGGGACAGGGTGCTGCCCTCACGCAGGAGGTATTTGGACTGGACAAGGATGTCGGCCCCGGCAGAGTCAGTTCTCAGCAAGCCACAGAGCAGCCCCATGGTGCTTCTGATTCTCCTTGTCCCCTTCCTTCTGTGGGCCTGCTTTTTGTCACCTCAGAGGCATTGTGCAGCACTGAGAAGAGGAAGGCTTGAGAAGTTGGAAGGTCAGGCCGTGGCCTGGGGTGGGTGGGAAGGGCGGGGGCTCCAGAGAAATTGAGACCAGAGCTCTGAGCCCACCCTGGCCCTTACTAGCACACACGTGGTCTTGGGAAGATGCCCAAGCCCCGTGGACTCAGGTCTCCATCTGGGATGCGAGCGAGTGTGAGGAGCCCTGTGTGCTGGGCTACAGGATGTGTGTGAGTGATGAGACAGAGCTCGCAGGGCCTGGTGACTGTTGGCCCTGTGAAGGCGGGACAGGAATTTCTCACACTGTTTCCCCCAGACACTCCTCCACTCTCCACTGGACGGGGTTGGCTACTTTGTGGTCCAGGGTGGGTTAGAGAATATGCACCTCAATAGGATGTAGAATTCCTAATTAGCCAAACAGAATGTTTCATAAATGAAACTAAGAAACTTCCACTTAGACCATAGTGGACCATAGTGTTAGTCACTCAGTCATGTCTGATTCTGCAATTCCATTGACTGTAGCTTGCCAGGCTCCTCTGGCCATGGAATTCTCCAGGCAAGAATAGTGGAGTGGATTGCCACGCCCTTCTCTAGGGAGATCTTCCTGACCCAGGGATTGAACCCAGTTCTCTCACAATGCAAGCAGATTCTTCATTGTATGGGCTACCCAGAAAGGCCCATTTCCAGTTAGAGGACCTGTGAAATTTGGGTGTGGAGGAGTGTTCCAGCAGGACCCAAGCCGCTCCAGGAAATAAAAGCAAGAACCACTCTTTGCATGTGTCCCAGCTGGTCTTCCATCACAACCCTTACTTTTCGTCATTGCAGCACCAATAAATGTTGAGTCTTTGATTACAGTGCCCAATTACAATGAAGATAATTAAAAGCTAGTTAACACCTTGAGCTCTGGATCCCCAGGGCCAGGAAAGAGTGGGTCAGTCCATGGATTTCTGGGCATCACTTCAAGGGAGTGTGATGGGAGTTCTTCAGGATTCCTAGCAGATACTGGGTAGAAAACCCCTATGCCATCCTTGTGGTCAGCAGTAAAGTGCCAGAGCCAGGACCCCTTCCATGCTGCCCCAGAAAGAGATCTCTCTGGGGTCTATCCAAGACCCAAAAGGACACCTTACAGCAATGTCCCATTTCCCCTCATTCCCACGATGCACCTCATATGACTGTGGCTCCTAGACCATCACTCTAGGTGTGGGTGTGTCCTGCTTCTCCCAGTGTCCCCACTGCTAACACAGGGCCTTTCACAGAGCAGAGGCTCCATAAAGGTCTTTGCAATAAATGAACCAGTGAGGAGGGGGCTGCTTTACTCAGATTAACTGCTACTTCCTTTGATAACCCAGGAAAATCCATATAAACTGAGATCACTTAGCTGTACAAAATGATACACACAAAGTTTAAGAAGCAATAATTTACTACTATCACTTTTTATTTTCTAATTTTCCACCAACTATATCACTGCTAAATAAATTCACATTTCCAAAATCATTCTAATTCATGTCATCTTGTGCAGGACCATGGAATAAAATGAAAGTGTTCTTAATCTCTTTTACAGAACAGGAAAACTCTTCATCTTGAACTGATTGAATACAAACACAGTGTGATCAACATCATTGACATAGTTAGATACTGGAATGCACTGTCTTCTATAAAAAGGAATAACATTTGAAAAATTCCTAAAGAAAACAGAGATGAGTCTCCATGTCATTGTAGAGAACAGGAACACAAAGATGCCACACACCGGGTTCCCCCAATGGTCCTGGACCCTCACTGCTGAGAAGGCTGACTGTTCCTTCTTCAATCACAGAGAGAAGGATCAGCCTCCTTTCCTGTCCCCAAGAAAAGCTGTTGGACGTGGGCCTGGAAGGAGCCTGGCTGCTGCTCTGGCTCAGAGTCCTCTCCCCTCCTCCCTTGCAGCCTCTGCAGATGGGGTGGAAGGAGCTAGGACCCTTTCAACTGACTCTGTCCAAATATTCCAGGACTTTAAACCTGCTGGTCTCTGCATAGGCCTGGGGACCCCACAGGAACTCGTAGCGAGCAGGGTCACTGTCAGGCACAAGCTGATACACCAGATACCCCTCCTGCACCCACACTTGGGTCAGAAGCTCCCTGGGCTCCCCATAGATGAAGTGTCCCTACCAGGACACACCCCCATCTTGCTGATTGCTGCCCAGATCTCCTCCTCAGGGACACGACATCCTCCACAGCAATCAGGCACAGGATCACCACCAGGAGGCTAGCCTTGGGCAACCTATGCCCATCCCTCAGCATCTCCTTGAGGGTGAGGCCCAGGGAGGGGACCAGGATATAGGTATGCTCACTGGGGTCCACCTCCTTCACCTCCAAGCCAAAGACAAGCTGCAGGTACTGTGAGGCTTGACCGAGGACCACCAGAAAATGGTCCTGGTAATCTTTGAAGGCACTATTCAGCACTTCTGCCTCTGTGATTGGCTCCTTGGCAAGATACCTGCTGAGCAGGAATTGCACCAGCTCATTCTTCTTCACCCGAAGTGCATCTCAGAGCCAGGATCTGGCATCTTCCTGGTCACATTAGGTGCTTGGCACTTCATCTGGCCTGCTGAGGCCATGGTCTTCAGATGGACTCCCCAGAGTGGCAGCTATGGCAGTGGGAGAGGGGCAGACACCCAGAGGGCTCTGGGGAAGACTGGGCATTGCAGCAGCAGCCACTTCTTCAGGGGTCCTACACCTCCACCTACTCCACCTCCTCCTCCTCCTCCACCTCCTCCACCTCCCCCTCCGCCTCCACCTCCTCCTCCTACTCCACCTCCTCCACCTACTCCACCTCCTCCACCTCCTCCTCCTCCTCCACCTCCTCTTCCTCCCCCTCCACCTCCGCCTCTTCCTCCTCATCCCACCTCCTCCTCCACCACCGCCTCCCCCTCCTATGTTTTGGCACTGATAAGTAAAGTCTCACTTCTTTATGATATATGCTTTTGTTTTGATCAAGTGTTCCTGCAGCTTCTCCATGTAAAGTTTCCATCTGCTCTTCTGCTTGATGCTCCCAATGCTGCTTCCTTTCTGGCTGCTGTTCCTGTTGCTTGTGCTGCTTGGAGGCAAGAAGGAACCGAGATGCATTGTGAGTTGTGAATTTGTTGCTGTAATTATCGTAGAAGCCTGCCACCCCCACGGCAGAGGGACAATTGGAGGCTGGTTAGAGGGTGAGATGCTCTGATGCCTGTAAGAACAGTGATGGAGAACTTGGGGTCTGCAGCCCCCACTCTGCTTCTGTAGCCAAAGGCATCCATGGGTTTTCATATCCACTACTGGCTCCTTCCTGGGTGTCTGTGGGACTTCTGTCCCAGGAAGAATTAGACTGGGGAGCAGATTTTTTCCTGCTCGATGGGATCCCAGGTTTTGGTTGTGGGTTTTCTAGTCTGGGTCCAGGACCATGTCTTTTTTCAGGGCCACATTTCTATAGCTATAAAACCAATATGAGATAGCCTGCCAGTGGTAGAAAAATATCTTCTTCAGATGAATACAGAGGGTCTGGAGAGCTTCAGACTGGAGCGCTGTCAACACGAAAGTGCAGTTACCCCAAGAGGGGCGACCGTAACACACGTGTACTTTCCTGTCTCTGGCTGTTTAGTAAGAAATTAGTAACTAGCATAGGAGATAACCAGGTGGTTTGGCTTAAAGTTCCTATTGATTAAATCTAAGTGTACTTTCAAAATAAATCATGATGTACATCACTCTGGGCACACCAGCAGAATCTCTGGGTATGATTGACAACTACACTGTGTCTGACACTCGCTAGGTATGAGGCAGTGTGCTGGCTACTTTCACCAAAACCTGAAATACTTGTCCTATGTGGGGGTTGAGGAATTCAGACAGACACCTTAGACAGGGGTGTGAGCACCCACAGCTCAGCCAGGATTTGAACTTATTCTGTCTGGTTACAAAGTACATTCATTTCACATCATAGTATCTTCCACCTCAACAGCACCCAGCTCTCTTACTGCTGACCCTCTGGCACCAGGGGATGACTCCACTCAGGAATTCTTGCAGTGACACCACGGGACAATACCTCTCTCAGACCTATTTGAGGAAAAGCTGGACCCCTGTGATGTCTGGGAGCTGCTGCTGGAGCGCTTCCTCTGGACAGCGGCCAGATGCTTGGGGAAGGTCACATGCACTGACTCCATGGATGAGCCGGGTTGATGGACTCGAGCAAGTCGGAGGAGGCCCTCCTGCTGTGGCCAAGGGACAGCTCATCATCCAACTCCAGCTTTTCTGAGTAACTGTCCGTGATGTCATCTTCGTCCCAGAGGCCATGACACTGAGGAGGCAGGGACGGGACAGCTCAGCCAGCTGTCCAGCCAGAGGCTGGGACATGGTCCTGTGACACCCTAGCCACCAGGATGTGTCCCTCAGGATAGGAAACCACGTCAAACAGGGCGACTGCAGCCGATGACCCTGATGGACGGTGGAGACTGCCAGGAGAGCACAACTTAAGTGTTCCCACCAAACACCGACCAATAGGCAGGTGAGAAAGTAGTGGATGTGTTGACTAACCTGACGGGGGTCCTTTCACCATATATACGCTTATCAAATCACCATGTGTACACTTCTGACAGCTTACAATTTCACTGGCCAATTACAAATTAACAAAGTATCCTTTAGTTAAAGCTATGGTTTTTCCAGTAGTGATGTGCAGATGTGAGAGTTGGACGATTAAGAAGGCTGAGTATCAAAGAATTGACATTTTCAAACTGTTTTGCTGGAAAAGACTCGAGGTTTCCTTGGACAGCAAGGAGATCAAACCAGTCAATCCTAAAGGAAATAAACTCTGAATATTCATCAGAAGGATTGATGCTGAAGCTGTAACTCAAACACTTTGTCCACCTGATGGGAACAGCTGACTCATTAGAAAATATCCTGATGCTGGGAAAGATTGAGGGCAAGAGAAGAAGAAGGTGACAGATGAGATATTTTGATGACATCTTTGACTCAATGGACATGAATCTAAGCAAACCCCAGGAGATAGTGAAAGACAGGGGAGCTTAGTATGCTGTAGTTCATGGGGTCACAATGAGTTGGACATGACTTAGCAACTAAGCAACAATACATCAACAAAGCTGAAATTAGGGGAAAAGAAAGATTAGAAAACCAAAGCAAGGTCAGGGATCCTAAGAAAGCTTATTATCTACCTATATGTAGCATTGCAAACTCATCACACCCCAAAGACTCAGGAAAGACCCCCTCAAATGGAGGGTTAGGAACTGGCAGTTTGCAAGGTAGCAGAAGGCAAAGTGAAGGTCTTGGTTATGGTCCACATAGACAAAAGCCAGTGTGAAACAGCCGACCAAGTAAGATAGAGTTTGAAAACACATTTACATGTATGTGTGTGTGCATGTATGTGTGTGTTGCAGCCTGGCGGAACAGAGACCAGAACCCGCCCCATGACTCGAGGGTGCGGCAAACTGCGTCCTCATGATTGTCCCAGTAAGCATGCCAAATAGACATTCTTGGGGAGGGACATGCTCTCTGGTCCACTTCACTGTGTACCCCTGTGTCCATCCCCATAGAAACAAAACAAGATATTCCTGATCAACGGCAGAGCCTTCGCTAATCAAACTCCCCAGGGTAGCTAATCTCTAATGAACTCATGTGACTTCTGCCAATAAAACTGTGGGCTGAAAGGAACCATTTTGTCTTCCTGTCATGGAGAGCAAGAGGGGCCTCTGACTCCCCACTTGCCAAAATATATGTGTCTGTCTTTTCATTATGTGCTCACCCCCGTTTCAGGTCTTTCTCAACCACTCTGCTGGATGTGGCATGTGTGTGCCTTAACTTAGGCCAAGCTTGCTCTGAAAAGGAACTAATAAAGATACTACTTGATAAAATGAATGTAAGATATGCTTTATCAGTACAAGGAGACACAGTTAAAACAAGAGAAAGAAAGTGAGATTCTGACCGTAGGCACATCACTACATCCAAAGCATGCTGTGTGACAATCTCTAACATGTAGAGTTGAGTGGCATATCACAAGTTCAGCTTATGTTTCACAGTGTCTGAGATCAGACCCCTGCAGGTGCTCAGCAGGATGACAGGAGGTACAGATCCCAAAAAGATTACCCTGCAGACATGTCTTCCCAGAGCAATGCAGGCATGGCTTTCTCAGAGGTGGCCTCTCTGGGAGTGCAGCCTGGCATCCCCAGGCCCATGGATTGGACAGTCTCTCACTAAACCAGTGGTTTCAGAGCAAAAATCCATGAGAAAAGCAATGCTCCTAAAGGGGGGTGGGCCAAGGTCAAACTGGAGAGGAGATCCCAAATTCTAGCTCCCCAGTGATCTGTCTGCAACTCAGGCACGACTTGGTGAATACAGCAGTAAGAACCACACACCTTTGGTGGAATCCCCACCAACGTGGAATCATTAGGGTGCCTTCATCCTAGGGTGTGCTTCGCAGGTGGTGCTAGTGGTAAGGAACCTGTCTGCCAATACAGGAGACATAAGAGTTGTGGGTTCGATCCTTGGGTCAGGAAGATTGCTGGAGGAGGGCATGGCAACCCACTCCAGTATTCTTGCCTGGAGAATCCCATGGACAGAGGAGCCTTGCGGGTTATAGGCCATAGGGTTGCAAAAGAGTCAGACATGACTAAAGCAACTTAGCATGCAAGCATGCATCCCAGAGTAGAAATAGGGGGAAATCTCCCCCGATTGATCACAAGCTCAATTATTGAGTACACAGTGTTAAGAAAACGAATGGCATGAACAAAACTGTTAACAAAGAAAACAAGAGCACACAGATAAACCCTGCCTGTGGCCTCCCAGGCCCTCGTGATCCCAGCTCAGGGTTCTCAGGAATATCCAGGGCTAATGGCGGGCAATACCTTCAGGATGGAGCAGTGGAAGAAGGTGCCAGAAGCTGAGTTAGATCATAGAGCATGTAGGCATCCTTCGTCTCCACCCTAATGATGTTGAGTGAGTGGTAAGGCTTGTCCTTGTTCAGTTCCACATTCTTGTTCCAGGGGAAGAGCCCAAATGGGAAGAAGTACTTGACCACAATGGCCACCCGCACAGATGCAAGAAATTAGAAGAAATGACTCCCTTTAAGAATAGTTCTAGATGAGGAAGAGTGATACAAATATTAAGGGAAAAAGTCTCAGTTTTGGTGCTGGGAATGCACACAGCATGTGGAATAACAAATTCTCCTTCTCCAGATATCAATTTCAAGACAAGGCCAGAACCACGTCTCCAGGTCCTGTGAGTGCAGACACATTGGGGCCATGGAGGTTACTCTTGACTTGGCTCAAATGACTTCTATTGTCAGGGAGTAGGCTAGTTTCTGGGCTTTCCAGGTGACACCAGTGGTAAAGAACCCACCTGCAAATGCGGGAGGTATAAGAGATGTGGGTTTGATCCCTGGGTTGGGAAGGTCCCCTGGAGAAGGGATTGGCAACCCACTTCAGTATTCTTGCCTGGAGAATTCCATGGACGGAGGAGCCTGAAGGGTTACAGTCCATGAGGTTGCAAAGAGTCAGACATGACTGAAGTGACTTAACATGTATGCAAGGGCTAGTTTGTGCTGATTCAATTAGATGCTTATACAAATATTCAGGTATTAAATGAGGTGATTAGGACCAATGTGAACAGGAGGATCTTTATTCTGCAAGCATGGCTTTAGCTCGTAGTTTTTAGGAGCAAACTGCACAGGCTCTATAGACAATTTTAACTTTATTCCGCTTTCTTTCTTGTCAGCATTTTATTGCTCACTGGAAGTTCTCCTCAAGAAGAAATAAAAGCAAATGAAACAAAACCCTGCCAGCTCAGGGTGTAAACACAGATGTTTGTAGAGATCGACATTGAAACAGTCCTCCAATGTCTACATCATCAGGGTTAATTGCATCCAACTGTGTTTCAAGTGCTAACTGTATTGTTTGATCCAATGTCCACTCGCTGACCATGCACTGGCCCTGGAACTGTGCTTGTGTCTGCCTCACACTTACTGTCTTGCTGGTCAATATCACAGGGCAGACACCAGACCTCAAAAAGCCTCCCCCAGCAATCCCCGGCTGGCTAAAGTGAAAGTGAAAGTGTTAGTCACTCAGTTGTGTCTGTCTCTTTGCAACCCCATGGACTGTGGTCCTCCACTCTCCTCTGTCCATGGGATTCTCCAGGCAAGAATATTGGAGTGGGTAGCCATTTTCTTCTCCAGGCGATCTTCCCGAGCCAGGGATCAAACCTGTGTCTCGTGCACTGCAGGCAGATTCTTTACCATCTGAGCCACCATGGAAGCCCACTTTGGGCCAATTATTTAATCTCATAAAGGCTGTTCCTTATTCCTGTTGTACAGAGTGATATTAGCTCCTATGTTGTGTGAGGTGTGAGATGTGAAAAGACAACTAGAGTTCTCAGTGCCAACAACTGCTGGTTATAATCATGTGCTCACCTAAGACGATCCTTCTAAGTATTTATTTATGTGAAGCAGGGGTCAGGCAGGTCCACCGGAGGGAAGCCTAGCTCCATGTAGATGATGGTCATCATCCAGAAGCGCCTGCTGGGCCGGGGAATGGACAGCATGGCCCAGAGGACGAAGAGGATGGGCAGCATGAGGCTGATCATGGAGGTGGAGACCATGTGGCCGAGGATGATGACAAAGTAGCACACCATCTCGGAGCGGGCAACCAGCGTGTTGTACAGTGCGTATAAGAGCAGCAGGAAGCGTGGCTGACCCACGTAGAACTTCTCTGACTCCTCCAGCTCATTGTCTTGGAACATCCTGCCAGAAAGCCCTTCTGCCCTGGTCTTCACTCTACTTCTGTGTCCTATCTTCCCTTTTGCATCACTCCTCTCCTCCTAACTCTTCCTGACAGGTTCGTGCAAGAAACACTGGAAATGAAAGTGTAGCAGCCACAGTTGTGAGATCAAGGCCTGCCAGCTGTGCTGAGTACCTCAACACACCTGGGCCTGAAAAGAGGGGGAAATGTCACTTAGAGATGTCAAGTGTATGGGGTGTGCAGTGATCATCTGTTAGGCTGAGAAGTGATCATCTAAGAAGGTGCTCCTCCCTGAATAGTATGTGTGAGCAGCTGGGGTCATATCACTGAGATGCTCAAAGGTGCAGACTGCATCCATTCCTCTTGTCATAGACACTGATGCACACATGTGAATGAATGAATGCATCTGGCTGAGCCCTGAAACTGAAGAGCCAGACTTGCATGAGCTCTTGATCCTAATTCAGGGGTGTTCAGTGACCCCAAGGCTTTGGCCCTAGATGTGCACAGCACATTAGGCTCTCGGAATGCCAAGATAATGCTTGTTGGCTAAGACTTACCTTGATTAAATATGGCCAAGGAACTGAATAGTCACTCAGTTTTCAGACCACTGGAGCCAGTCCCACACCAGGTTCTAACTTCCAGAGGGACCATAACTTATCACAGGCATGCTCTCTATGTCCCCCCCCCCCCATTTTTTTTCCATTGATATTTACTAGTTGGGGGCTAATTACTTTACAATATTGTAGTGGTTTTTGCCATACATTGACATGAATCAGCCATGGATTTACATGTATTCCCTATCCCCATCCCCCCTCCCACCTCCCTCCCCACCCCATCCCTCTGGGTCTTCCCAGTGCACTAGCCCCGAGCACTTGTCTCATGCATCCAACCTGGGCAATCTGTTTCACCCTTGATAATATACATGTTTCGATGTTGTTCTCTCAGAACATCCCACCCTCACCTTCTCCCACAGAATCCAAAAGTCTGTTCTGTACATCTGTGTCTCTTTTTCTGTTTTACATATAGGGTTATTGTTACCATCTTTTTAAATTCCATATATATGCATTAGTATACTGTATTGGTGTTTATCTTTCTGGCTTACTTCACTCTGTATAATGGGCTCCAGTTTCATCCATCTCATTAGAACTGATTCAAATGAATTCTTTTTAATGGCTGAGTAATATTCCATGGTGTATATGTACCACAGCTTCCTTATCCATTCATTTGCTGATGGGCATCTAGGTTGCTTCCATGTCCTGGCTATTATAATAATTTCTTTAAGATTTCTTAAAAAAACTCTCTATGGTTTTTGATGAGGTCTGGCCCCAAAGGGATTCAGGTAAATCCTGGTACATTTAGGAATCAACAGATTGGAATGGCATAGCATGTGCCCACCAGAGGACATCTTAAATGGTGATGGCATTCCCCCAAAATACCCAGCACCAGCCTCCTGCAGCTCTGAATGCACATATGTACATAACAGCTGGTGAGAAAGACCTAACACTGGCTGACTTGCCAACACTGCCCTTAGTTTCAGATTGGGTTATTTGGGTGGGTGGTTGATGTCAAGATAAGCACAATACAGCTTGTATTTCTCTTCTCCTGTTGACTTTTCAAAGAAAAGCTTTTGGATTTTAAGCAAGTGATTTCATTTCTATGCATGGTTATAGTTTTTATCCTGGGATTTAATGAGAAATCATAAACCCAGAGTAATCTTTCCCAAACCAAACAAGTTAAGGTCTCTCAAGGTAATATATTCTACTTCATAATAATATTATTTTAAAAACAATGGTTGAAAATATTCTAACTTTCATGTCAGTTGGGCATATAGCATATGGACAGCTTCATTCTGTACTGACCAAATGTGACTACATACAGGATTTGGGATTATCCCCTACTGTGTGTATCTTTGGACAAAATTATGAGAAAGTTTCCAATGCTTCCTGACCCATTTCTCCCCGTGACCACTGCCTACTGGCACCTTCAACCAAGGAGCAAACATGTTTGCTCCTTTGGAAATAGAAAGTGTGAAATACTTTAAAAATGGAGCACAATTTTTATAGTAGGATTTTTAAGAAACTCCTAACAGACAAAAAGCAAAAAAGTGGTTAGTTGAATAGAAGACTGTCTTGGGAATGACCAGTTGTGTCCCACGAAGGATGCTGGTTATGCTTTCATTAGTCATGCATCTTCTTCAGGCAAAAGTGAATGAAAACACACAGGTCACAATAAGTCATCTGTGCAATGACACGGGAAGGGGTTGACATGGTAATGGACAAAGCATGCACGGGTGAGCACCTGGAGGCTAAGCTGGTGCTCTCAGCTGACGAGGAGGACACATCCATGCTGAGCATTTTATAGAGCCCAGGCCGAGTGCACTCACTCGTTTTAGGCACAGATTCTGGTCCATCTAAATCATCAAGGGTTGACTGCGGTGAGAACAGCATGATTGCTTCCATGTAGCAGCTAGCAGTGCAAACAGTTACAGAGACACAGTGTTAAAACAGCACTGGAACATGAGTCACACATGTCAAGAGACCCAGATGCCACCACCATGCAGCACACCACACACCACTCCAGCACCACGGACAGCGGCCACCACAGCGGGGCTTCAGGACAGAGAGGAGAAGATGAAACAGGATAGCACTGGGCTGAGAACAAAACCGCTGATAAAGGATGAAGTGTCACTCTCTGGGTGGGACAGGGAGCTAGAATAATGACAAGTCCTGACCTGTCTCTCACAGAGTAGAATTCATCTTTACAGTTGTACAGATGAGGTTTTGTTTTCAATGACAGGAAATATATTTTATTCAGAGCCCTCCTTCCACAATCCTGAGTTCAGTTCTTATGCAGAAATACCTGCTCAAGTAAAATTTATATAAAAATGCCATTTAAAAAACATAGTTTCCAAAAGAAAAGAAGGAAGCTCAGGATTGACTGCAACAAACTGAATTTTCCACCCCATCTTCTGAGTTCCAATGAGTCAGTTCTTCGCATCAGGAGGCCAAAGTCTTGGAGTTTCAGCTTCAGCATCAGCCCTTCCAAAGAATATTCAGGAATGATTTCCTTTAGGATGGACTGGTTGGATCTCCTAGCAATCCAAGGGACTCTCAAGAGTCTTCCCCAACACCACAGTTCAAAAGCATCAACTGGCATAAGCCTTTGGTATAGTCAATAAAGCAGAAGAAGATGATTTTCTGTAACTTTCTTGCTTTTTTGATGATCCAACAAATGTTGGCAGTTTGATCTCTGGTTCCACTGCCTTTTCAAAATCCAGCTTGAACATCTGGACATTCATGGTTCACATGCTGTTCAAGCCTAGCTTGGAGAATTTTGAGCATTAATTTGCTAGGGTGTGAGATGAGTGAAGCTGTGTGGTAGTTTAAACATTCTTTGGCATTGCCTTTCTTTGGGATTGGATTGAAAACTGACCTTTTCCAGTCCTGTGGCCACTGCTGAGTTTTCCAAATTTGACGGCATATTGACTGCATCACTTTTACAGCATCATCTTTAAGGATTTGAAATAACTCAACTGGAATTGCACCACCTCCACTAGCTTTTTTTTTGTAATGATGTTTCTTAAGGCCCACTTTACTTCATATTCCAGTATGTCTGGCTCTGGGTGATTGATCTCACAATTGTGGTTATCTGGGTCATGAAGATCTTTTTTGTGTAGTTTTTCTGTGTATTCTTGCCACCACTTCTTAATATCCTCTGCTCCTGTTAGGTCTATACCATTTCTGTCCTTTATTGTGCCCATCTTTGCATGAAATGTTCCTTTTGTATCTCTTATTTTCTTGAAGAGATCTCTAGTCATTAGCATTCTGTTATTTTTCTCTATTTCTTGGCATTGATCACGGAGGAAGGCTTTCTTATCTCTCCTTCTATTGTTTGGAACTCTGCATTCAAATGGGTGTATCTTTCCTCTCTCCTCTGCCTTTAGCTTCTCTGCTTTCCTCAGCTATTTGTAAGACCTCCTCAGACAACCATTTTGCCTTTTTTGCATTTCTTCTTCTTGGGAGTGGTCTTGATCATTGCCTCCTGTACAATGTCAAGAACCTCCATTCATAGATCTTCAGGCACTCTGTCTATCAGATATAATCCATTGAATCTATTTCTCGCTTCCACTGAATAATCATAAGGGATTTGATGTAGGTCATACCTGAATGGTCTAGTGATTTCCCCCACTTTTTCCATTTAAGTCAGAATTTTGCAGTAAAGAGTTCATGATCTGGGCTCCAGTCAGCTTCCACTCTTGTTTTTCCTGACTGTATAGAGCTTCTCCATCTTTGGCTGCAAAAAATAAATAGTTTTTCAGTAGTCCAGTAGTGTCTTTATTCATGTTCCCTCAATGTTTTTAAAATATTGAGTCTCTTTCTCTATTTGTTTGAGCTGTGCTGGGTCTTCATGGTGGCATGTCAGCTTCTCTGGCTGCAGAGCATGGGCTTAGGTGCCCTGTGGCATGTGGGATCTTAGTTTCCTGTGTGTGTTAGTTGCTCAGTTGTGTTCTACTCTTTGTGATGTCATGGACTGTAGCCCACCAGGCTCCTTTGTCCATGGGATTCTCCAGGCAAGAGTACTGGAGTGGGTTGCCATTTCCTTCTCCAATTAGTTCCCTGACCAGTGATCAAATCCACATCTCCTGCATTGAAAAGTGTATTCTTAAACACTGGACCCTGAGGGAAGCCTGGTTAATTATTGTTAGCAATCAAAAATTGTCAGGGGAATGTGCAATTTCCTAGGTTCTCTCTCCTCTTAACAAAAATTTGAAGTGATGGACGTAAAAGCCCTTGGTGTGTCACAGCTCTTAAACAGACCATGTTATAGCTCTCAGCTCTCGGACAGACTGTGTTATAGCTCTCCTCAGACATATCAGTGTTAACAGCTCCATGTTAAAGCGAACTTTTATTTAGAAAATAAAAGGAAAGTACATCCTTGAGGCATGAGAACAGGCAGAGTGAAAAGATGCGGAGAGGAGAGAGAAAGAGAGA